CCTAAAGCTTATTTTTGTCGGGGTTGCTCCACTAAACTCAATCTTGCTGGACATATAGGTGTGTACATATTTCTACTACTCTTTTTTTTCAAATTCATGTATAAGGGAACATAAAGAAAACGAGGAATGAACCAAAGTGAGTAATTTGTAGGAGATGGTACCTTCGCCAAAGTGACGAGTATATAACCACTCGGTCAATCACACTGTTTGTGGTCACGTTGTGATGTGATCTCTATAATAAATGCAAAAAATATAGAAAAGAAGTAGCACATCCTCAAAAAAATAACTTGGGTGCGAAGCGCATGCGCTGCACACGTTCAACACTCTGCTTGAAGTATCCGACTTCGATGGTGCTAAACACATGAAAAAGAGTCCCCGCACGTTCTTCAATCAATTGGTGCCTTCTAACCAGGGTGAAAATCGCTTGAGGAAAAGACAATGGCTTGTCGAGGATTCTTTCACGCTCTCCCACGCGGATGCTCACTCTCGCCAGCTGCGAGCCGTCTGTGCTCTCCGCGCATTCATTCACTCTCGACACTACTCTCGCACGGTAGAGAGCCATGGTCGAGGAATTCCTCGACCGTTATTCACCTGCTTCTAACGCTCGGCTTTTTGAAATGTTAGGGCAGCAGCACGTCGTCGGTGTTTTTCTATACTTCTTTCTGGAATCTGAAATGGTGCTTGACTAAATTGTTCCAAAAATACGTTTCGGTTCTGGCTGGCTCCAGTCAGTTCAGAGACCGTCGACTTTCTCTCAATCATATTTCCTCTGCACGTTCAAGAGATCCTGTCGTCATGGGATAAGTAAATTTGCGCCTCAACCCTTCGCCTCATCTACCATTCATGCTGGTAATTCTGTGGACATATCTTATCGCACTCGCCACCAAACAATTGGGTACTCTGCCTAGCTTGCTGCATCTACGTCGGAGGGAATTCGGTGTGATAGGCTAAAATATGTATGTGCTTCGTTTCAGATGAGGTGGAACCATCGCCACCTAATTAGATGCAGTGAGCTATGTCAAGCTTAAGTTCGGAGTCCCAACTATTTATGCGTGACCGGCGTTCATACCAATCCAAAAATTAGGCCACTTTTCAATTTCACACCACTATAGGTAGCCTCAATTAGCGTAAAGGTTAACTTGAAGTCGTAATTCGATTCAAATGAGCTATTTCAGGTCTATCATACTCGCGCCATGGAATCACATCATATTTCGAGAAGGCTCACCCACGTAACCTTCCCTACAAATACTTCGGGCAATTTCTCGATGAAACGCAACACTTTGGTAGGCTTGTTTTTTGAATCCAACGATAGCATGCTAACTGCAGCGTACGTGACTGATGGAATCTGATCGATCCATTTTCTGAGAGGAATATCCTGCTATGCGGTAAGACTGAAGAGGAGTGTTCCATGTTCAGTCTTACCACATAGTAGCACCTCTTATTACTGCATAAATTCACCAGACCAGCCTGAAATTGTTGGGTGGCGTTCCATTTATCCGTTTATACCTGCCCGGAGAGCCGACATATCCAGCCCAGTCACTCATGCTTCACTCGCTCTTTTTGACTTCCTCACCATACACTCATCCGAGCATCTTTCTCATCATACTCGATCACTACCTAGTCATGTGAGAGTGACAACCGAAATGGAAGTACAACATGGATTGGTGAGAGCGGTCTGGAAATCTGACATGAACGAATGCTGCCCACACCCGATCAGATACTCACCTTGTCCCCAGGACTAGC